AGATCGCAAACAAGCAAACACAGAGTGTGTTTACAGAGGGCAGAGGCGCAGTTTGTCAGAGATAGCACCGACACAAACATGTCCGGCGCAATCAATACGCGCTATATTGATGATATCATCTCCTCGCCTCACCTCCTCACCTCACTTCCTCACCTCCTCTCACACGTTATCACACATAATTGAAGCTAATTAGTGTTTATTGACCCCATTAACATGATGATTATAATTATTACTATATATATATATATATATATATATATATATATAAATCAATGATTTAATCGAATTTATTTCAGCGAATTTATTTTAAAATTATATTTCAATGTGAATTTTATAAGAGAAAGTTTATTACGAGTATATTTGCAATTTTTAAATAAATCTGTAGAGTATGTATATTGGTACTTGAGGCACGTATATCTTTCATATATCTTTTTGCTAACAAACGAAGCGAACTAACAATAACTGACAGAAAAGCGGGATATTCTGTTAAGGTTTGCTCAACAAATTTGCATAACCAATGGAAAATTATGATTATGACGCGTCTTGAAAATGCTAATCAGCAGTTATACATACTTTTTAAGCGTCTTTTTATTAATTGTAACATGATGGAGGAATTTGTGTATTTATATATTTATATGAAATGCATATTTAGCTATCTCTAATTGTTAACACATTTATGATATCTATATATATTTATTACAATACCGATGAGCAAAATGACAAAAACGTAAATACTTTAGGTTGCAATGAAAAATGTTATTAAAATAAAACACATTTCAAATTCAGTTGCATCGCAATTCTTCGCCGAGGATCGTGTCTACAAACAACATGCCCATTTATCACTCTCACATGAAATCCAACATTACACCGCCCGAGGGATAAAAGCGAATTTGCCAAGTGAACCTCTGCGCTTTAATGTTTCAGCCGAATAAAAGCAGAGAGAATGGACAAATAGGATACGCTTATCCCCTCCCTAACTGCATCTCTACACAACAATTTTGTTGTAAAATTCTGTGTAACGGCGCGCTGGTGAAGTGAACATGGAGACACGTACAGCCACAATACGCCGCGCGCCATGTGCCATGTGCCTTGTGCTGGTGTCTTGTGCTTCGCAAGCAGCTGAATTATTGTCCGCGCTTAGAAATAATAGCACAAAACTCTCAACACGTGCTCTAACAGATTTCATCTGTTCTATCTTTGCACGTATACATCTAATGTTAACAAATATTATTCACTTCAACTTAGATTATCAGAAAGAAATATCATCAGTTGAGACGACGGATAATCATTTTTATCATCTTGTACACCACGGGCGCTTAGTGTAAATTTTCTTGCTATTTTAATATTTTCTTGGTAGTCAATGACAAAGTAATTTCGTTTTCCTTTATTTTCCAATTCGCTCTATTACTTTCAATTGATTACATCGGACAGTATATGGTGGCAGTCTGTATATTACGGGAGCTGTCCTCGAGCACTGATTAACTAACACGTGCCCGGCTCCGGGCGGAGCGCTGCCGGCCGGTCACCTCTCTCCCTGCTATTTACTGCCCCTGCCCCTGCTCAGAGCATCCTGCGACATAGCGCGGCGCCCTCTATCGGAATGCAAGACACTCCATTGTCGTGTAAAACAATTCGAGACAACCGTGCCGGGTACAACGACAATCGAAATTAAATTGTTGCTGAAATTCGCATTAATTATTTTGTATTTGCCTCTCTCTAGTAACTGATAGCAGCTCTAAAGTGTAAGGTAACATAATATTTTCTTTAGATGTCGTTACGACAGGAGCAGATGTTGATTACAGAGTATTTTAACTTTGTAAAAGTTTTATTTGTTTCTTTAAGTACACAATTAAATTAAAGCTTTTATGAATAAATATTACCCTAGCAAAGATATACAAGATAACATAGAACGGGTAAACATTCCGGATTCGTTTTCCGGAGTTCAATACACATGTTGATTAATCGATTATATCGATATAAAGTAAAGCCATTACAAAAAGTAATTACATAAAATAGAGTAAGTAGCCGTTGGCGTCGGCTGTAGCGGCCACAATCAACTTCCATTTGCAATTCAAATGTTATTGAAACATACAACACACACACTTACACACTCACACACACACACACACACTATCATCATACAGATCAATCCATTTGCCGCCGCGCACTAATTAATAAAAGCTACTTGTTTGTGTGCTTTGTTAGTTTCGTATATTAATTCAGTAAAAAAGTTTATACAATAATATAATAGTATAACTAACACAATGATTCAATGTCATATGAATACTTAAATAAACTTATTAAATTTCGCCGTTAAGTAAATAACAATTAAATTATTTCTAATTTCGTAAATATATTTACTCATCTGAGATAGGATTATAACCAAAGAAAGAAGCCTCTCAGAGAGGCTTGAGGGTCCGCCCGCTCCGAACCCGGCGCCTAGTGAGCGTTGCTATGCCAAAATATTCCTCCTTATTTAATTTTTAATGGAGACCACTTTCTCTTCTCATCTAAGTGTATTTATACATTTATAACATGTACAAGTATTTATTTCATCTAATTAACATGTAACACTTTATCTCGAGTATACTTTCATTATACGCATTCACAAGTCGCCGTTTTGTTACAAAGTGACATCCCATTTTGTAGCAATGAAATAGGTAACATAATAATTTGAGAAAGCTATAGTGTAAAAATCTTTGTGTCTCTGAAAAAAATGTCTGAATTTTAATGCAAAATATTTGCACATAACTGTAAAACCTTATATCAGGTTAGAATATATTGTAATATTATAACATAATGACGTGGAGGTCCCATTGAACTTCTGTACGTGCCAATGAAGCACGCACTCGCACAAGAGGCAATTTATCGCGCGCGCGTGTGATCCTCCCCGCGTACCGCGTGCCGCGTGCCGCGCTCCTCGCGCCCTCGCACTGATGATAGGACGTCGCGATTTGAACATTGCATACCAACTGTGTTATTGGAATCGGGTTTTGATAACAATAACATACTAAATATATTTGCCATTTGTATCATATCAGTTTTAGTATCGAAGTTGAAGATTATTGTTTTAAAAACATATTATATAGATAAACAATATTTATGTTTCAGGTTATTTGTGTAAAAATAAAAACTAGTTATACATATATGTAAGACAGTGCACTGTCCGTCAGTTTTATCGTCAACGTACAGACTTCGGGCATAACAATGTTTGCCTCTTTCGTAAACAATCCGTGAAATATAATGGCACGTCGTCGTCGTCGTCGCAGCCGCGAGGAGACGGTCGACTAAACAATCCATCACTTATGTCGATATGCGGTCGAGGAGGTTGTTTTGACGATCCTCCTCCAGCCCCTGCAATTCCAACAACCCTAACATTTTTTAACGACTGGTCCGTCCACTTCATTACATTTCCTTCAAAAGGGCGAGTTTTATAACAATTTGTAGATAATGTCGTTTTAAAAACAACTCATTTTTATTAACTTAAAATTCATAACATTACTTCTGTAAAATTATCTTTGAATTGGTGTAGTAAAATTCAAATCAGATTTCGTCGTCGAGTTGGGAAGCGACAAGTGTACGTCTACGTTCACATTGGAACGTGACGGCGAGCCGGAGCGGAGTCGCGCGGAGCCGCGGACCAACAACTTATACCAGACTTCATCTTATCCATCATCTATATACATAATAATACACCATTCATATATTTGTGAGCCCACAACTCTATAAATAAACTTCTATTTATGTTGGTGTTATCATGATTTGTATATTTCTGTTAACGTGAAAGCAACATTTTAGTAAAATTATCGATTATTATAAATGTAGCGAGTCGTGACCCGGCGCAGAGCACTACCAGCCCGACACTAATCACTTTTTTTAATTTTTCTGAACACACTACATTTTACATTTAACACAAAAAGTAATTGTTTTTTTTTTCAGCAAAACACAGACAATTCAGATTTAAATAGAAACATAAATTGAAAAGATGGTAGTTGTACGTGATTAAATACGTGTGGAATCAGTGGAAATCAGATTTTACAGCAGCAATACGTTGTGCAATCAGATGCATCATTTTCATCCGTATTTTTCCATAGAGTAGTGAAATAAAAATACTACAAATAGTAAAGCGCGGGCCGGCTACGGCTGGAGCCGGGTAATCAATTACGTGAGAGTACTGATGGAGCAAAGTTAATAGAATCACCGCACCCCGCACCTCACGCCCCACGCCCCGCGCCCAACATCATTCATACACGAGGCACTAATAAACGCATGCCATGCGGATGTAGATATAATTTCGATCAGATAATTGAAACTATAATAAACAACAGTGCCGTTTAGAGACACCCCAATGAAGTGATGCTTTAAAATATGAAGCGTAGAAAGTAATCGTATACAATATAAAATGTTTAAAAAAGCACTTGCGATATTAGCCCAAATTTATGGCACGGTTCTGGCACATTTCCCCCGCTACTTCTACATTACTTTATTTCTATTCATATCTCTTTACCGCTATCTGTTGTCAATTTTCAGTATTCATTGTTTCACCAATCCCGAAGTCAATATAAAGATTAAAAGGAAATGTTGAAGAGAATTCGATAAAGCTCTGCATGTGATATACGCTCATAACACCATTGTATGTCTGTGTGTGTGTGTGTGTGTGTGTATGTATGTACAGCGAGCGTTTACTCGGCTCACTAAACTTTCAATATCGCCTCGGCGCCAAGTTTCCTTTGTTCCAAATCGTTCAGCGCAGGTTTGTTTGTATGGTTATTGTATGATGCAGCCGCGGCCGAGTTGCAAACTAAATCATTGAATACAACTTTGTGTGTACGGATTCTGTGAATACGTGCATTCAACTGCTTCAAATTGAATAGCTAAGAATACTTTGATATTAACAGTTATTTGAATGTGAAAAACTTTCAGTGGAAGGAAAAGTTAAAGTTTTACCATCTCTGTTAGTTGTGTTTGCAGTGACGATCTGAAGAGTATGTTGTGTGCAGGAGGAGCTGCGGGACAACCTGACCGTGAGCGTGATGAGCTTCGTGCCGACGCTGGACGACGACGGCAAGCCGCTCGTGTGCCGCGCGCAGAACCCAAACGTCTCCGCGCTCTTCCTCGAGACCTCCTGGCTAATCAGCGTCGTTTGTCAGTACCACACCTTAATACTAACTGATCGTGTAGCACTACATTTATACACTTTAGATAGGGAAACCATTAATCGATAGCAAACTGTATGACAGACTATAGGCGGTACAATTAATTTATATGTGATTTATCTTTTGTTAAACTTAAACCTTACAAATCGTCGTGGATTTTCACAGCCAAAACATATTGATATTATTTATGTATAACTGTTCCAGCAGTGGATTAACACGGTCGAGTGCAACTTATATTTGTTATAAACTAATGTCCGGGACATCTCACAGACCCTCCGGTGGTGCGCTTGCGGTTGGGCAGCTCGCTGGCGGCGGGCGACATCAAAGAGGGTGACGACGTGTACTTCGAGTGCCACGTGCGTGCCAACCCCCCCGCGCGCAAACTCTCCTGGCTGCACGACGTGAGTCATCCCTCATCTCTCATCCCTCAAACAAACTACATGCCAAATATCAAGTTCATTTGAGTAGCACTACATAGTACGTAAGTCGTCACACACTGCCACTTTCCCAAATTTGAAGTGGCTAAGGGATGTACAAAACTCGTCCCCACATAATATAGTCTCCCCAAACTTGAAGTTCATACGGTAGGTGCAGTATGTTTTCCTCAGTAATTGAAATAGATGTCTGCACGAAGTTTGGAGAGAGTTGTTGTCGCTTGCCGTCCTTTGTATTTACAATTTTTAGTTTTATCAACTAACCGTGGGTTTCTGACACCAATATATCCGTTTAAAACATATTATTATTTTGTTCTTTTTTTGTTAAGATTATGACAGGGATGACTTTATGTTTCATAAAAAGATTTTGGTCTCAAGAACCAACAATAAGTTGTGTAAAAACCGATAGTAGTTTTAAGGAATGAACTGCTCGGCTGTGCTCGAACACTCGCTAAGCTTAACTTTTAATTATGTATGTATCAAACTATATTGGGGTAGGTACAGGGAGTTACGGAACTTAAAGAAGAGATGAGTAAATTAAATAAGAAAATAGGTCCTCGACGACAAAAAGTAATGTAACAAGGAGGATGAAAGACCCACATTAAATATTCTGCAAATAATCATACTTATTTTAATTATCAAGGTATTTTTTTCGCTTTTGGAGCCGGCGCGTGGCGCGAGCTCGGGGGCGGTGTTTGGGGCAATTAGTAGCACTCTGCCGCGCGCCAACGCACACCACTCCTCATGTACTTCAATGACCAACAACATAATTTTAATTAATTGTCAAAGATTATATTTGTATATTCTTATTTATGTCAATGTTAGAAACAAATATTTTTAACATTAATGATATAAATGACAAATAGTAGACGAACAATTAGAACTCAATTGATAGAAGAGTAATCGTTACTTTCTGACACAAAAATCCCCCTTTAAACTATAATATATTTTTATAACTGTTTTTTAGATAATGTATAAACATATTAAGTTAATATAAAAATACGGATGAAAATGATGCATCTGAATAAAGTTTTTAAAGTCGTAGTTTCATTTTTAAAATTATTTAACTACACGTTACGCCCTTATATTTATTTCAAAAGTAGTTTAAAAGATGTTCCTGTTTTTACACTATGCTACATTGTTTTGATGCCTAGTATGGAGTAACTTTATAGTGTTCTAACGAGATAAAATGTCTTATAAAATTGATGTCGCAGATGTCGAGTGAATTCTGAAGATTGTGAAAATGAAAAGAAATGCAAATTGGATTAGGTGGCCTCGTTACCGCCGCCTGCCCCGCCCCGCGCCCCTCGGCCTGCCCCGCCCCGCTCCGCCCCGACCCCCGCTCTACAATCCAACGGATTTAGGGTTACTGTTGGATTTAAATAAGAAATATCTTTATATATTTCTCCGGAGTCCACAAATTGGACCCCAAATTAAAATTGATGGGAAAAGTGGAAATATTTTAACGAGCATCAATTTATCGTATCTTTAAAGTAGCAAATTCAAAAAGACATCTATTTATTAATTGATAATATCAATAAACCTCTCTATAAGTTTATTAGTGAAATGATTGTAAGATGAAGTGAAGAATTTACCACAATTTTACATTTATAAATGCATCATTAAATGAAAAATAATGGTATACAGAAGAATAGTAAATGCATTCACAGTAAATATCAATGACGACATAAGTAAAGAAACATCAGACAATAGAGAAAGGCAGCTCTAGGTATTCGTAGGTAAGCAAAGAGGCTATCGATGAGCGCTGAACAAAGCGGCCGGTATGGAAACACTGGAGTGCGACATGTCGAGCGATGTTCAATTTCGTGGTCAATTGTAAATGATTTATCCGAGAAAGCACTTTGCGAGAGCTGAGCACACGTAGCTCTCAATAAGGCTACGTGAAACTGTTTTGATTTTCTACCTTCCGTCGTATTGAATATGCAATTTATAATGTCACCATTCAATTATTTTATATTCAAAATGTATGAAGTAATATTTCATAAATTTACACCCAATTCAAGTTAATGGTAAGGAGGCACTTAGACGCATTAGCTTAATGATCCGATAAATGTAGTGGTGTCCTTAGAATTTTCTATCTAGAAATTTGAAAGGCGAAATAAGAATAGGTGTAATTTAAAACTTTTGTTATAATGGAACAAGACAGTGAAAAATACAAAATTGTAGAAATAGAAACGACTGGAGTCTTGCAAGGTGATCCTTTGTGTAGGGTGCCGGGGCGGCAGCGGGCGATACATATTTTAGCCACCTTCTCACCTACTTGACGTTCTCCAGCATGAAAAATAGATTGCACAGTTGCAGTCGCAATTGTAGTTGATGTCGCAGTCGCAGTCGCAGTCGCAGCGGGTGCGGGTGTCTCTCGCTAGACACATGTCTCAGTTCCCATTTCTTTAGCGCTATATATTTTTGTAAATTTAATTTTAGATGAATACAATTGCATAAGTTTATATTTGGTTATGTGTTCATAAGAATATACGTATGTAGTATACGTATAAATGTGGCACAATATTTCTTGTTAACTAGGGTTTGTATGGATACTGACTAATTTTAGATAATAAATGATTAATTCTGAAATTAAAGTTGATGTGAGAGAGAAGGAAATAGAAGGTAGTAACGATTGATATGACTGGAGATAGTACGATCTGAAGGAAGAAATTCTGGTGCGCTACCACATAGTGGGGCAAGTAAAGAAAGGTGATGATACGTCCTCTATGAATCTCAATTAATATTCCATTATGGCAACAAGAAACACGTCACGTTGGGTTGAAGCGGAAATTCCTACGTTGATGTGTTAAGCGAGAATGAACGATAATAGGCCGGAAAACAAAGCGGAGTAGAGGAGAAACTTGTCGCAAACTCTTTGTGCCGCCTCACCTCGCCTCGCTCGCGCACTAATTACCAAACATTTAAATTCTTTTGTATCGCCCTCGTCGGCCGGCGCCTCGTGCAGGTTGCGGCCGCGAATACACCGAAGCGGCTTTTTTTAATGACACTGAACCGTACGAAAATTTCGCTCATATCAATGTCGTGGGGTGGTAAACATTTCCCTCGTAAATAGGAACTTATTCCCTTTCCTTTTACATTGTATACGTAGTTTGTATATTGTCGGGTCCAGGCTGTCTAGTAGTTCTTCTGTCAATGAACAATTTCATCCCTTGTTAAACTAAGTGCTCGTCATAATTGAATACCCTTTGCATTTTTTCCTCTACACTCGGTTTAATTTCATTTAACTCAATATCAAACAATACTTTATTTAGTAACAAAAACCAGCAACAGTATATATTTGAAATGATAGCAAAATTGGACGTAACTTTCTACCTTGGCTTCATAAAGCTTTGTATTAGAAATGGATACACAGACAATTGGAGTATTTTTGATATTTCAGTTTCGGTACAACTGACGAAAACAAGAGCAGAGCGGTCTAACGAATGTATAGATTTTTGAGCAATTCTGAAGCTTGTACAAAAAGTTCAAATAATGAATAGAGTAGTTTGAAACTAGCCGTGATAGATGTGTTACTGTATTTTTTGCATTTTAAGTAAGCTATTCCAGACCGTTAGAAATACACATGGAAGTTATATCTACTGTTCGATTGCACGAGACGAGAAAACTTTTTTAATTGAACGCTAACGATGTTGCAGTCACAATATTTATAAGCATGATGTAGTGACGTCACGCGTCACTGTTGACCCCCCCCCCCCNCCCCCCGCCACTCCTCCGCCGGCAGCACGAATGTCTGGCAGATGTAGTGCCGAGATATAGACCTTCTAGCGGTTTTAATGGACGTTCAAGTTTGATGCGCTCGACTACATTTAATGCCGTCGCATCGCACTTGGCGCTAGGCGGTGCACTATTCTCTAACGAATCCAATTTACACTTGACAATAAATCAATAAAGTTACATTTTTCATAACGATATTATTGTTAACTTTTTATAAATGTAAACTGTACTGTTTGTCTTACAGCAAATATAGCGCGTATTACAACATAGAACTTTATAAAAATATACGATCACTATAAAATAGTTTTAACTTATTTTTTTAACCTTGTTTTTCGCTTTTCTTCAAATAAGAAATCTTGCCACCATAAGGGTTAATATGTACTAACCAGCTCATAGCAAGCATACATATGTTGAGGCTGTATGTTGCGATGAGAACTTTTTCATTGCATTATAATCACAAAAATATAATTTAACTGTAAAATAAAACATATACCGCATACCGCACCGCACCGCCCCACACCGCGCTCCGCGAATCTCTATATCTGGACAACTTGCAACTGCTCCAACAATATTAATCCTCTTACTTGATTCCGTACTGGGAATAGTAAGTCCTTCAACACACAATAGCCTCCTTTGTCAGCACACAAAACTATTATATATTTCAATATGTCCGGTTTCATTAATATCTAAGTATTTGTATGTCGTTTTACTTTTGGTGTATTAGATGTTTTTTTTTAATTCAAAACTTCCATATTTATCACGATATTACTAATCAACATTGTCGATGGTAATTACTTTTTAACTTTCTTACATTTCTGTCATCAGTTATCACTATTATTAAATACAAAAATATAATTTGTATCTTAGTAACTTTACAAGTTGTTGATAGTGTAGTTATGTTTGGTGTAGGACCTGCCGCTGGTGCACAACGCGTCCGCACGTGTATTCCACAGCAACCAGAGCCTCGTGCTGCAGAAGGTGACGCGCCGGAGCAGCGGCCGCTACGCCTGTTCCGCGCTCAACGCTGAAGGCGAGACAGTCTCCAACGAGCTATACTTCAGAGTTAAGTGTAAGTCCTGTGCCCCTTTCGCTCACCACCCACGTCTCATGACATGCCATCTATTAAAAAATCGAGAGTTTCGAAAAATTGTTTAATATTTCAATTATTTTGTGCAAAAACAATCGTAATTCAATTATTTAACTTTTTTAAATTAAACAACAAACAAAGTAAAAGTGCAAACACGTTTAAAATTTTGTTCAGGAAAATTGTGTCATTAAACAATGAAATCACCGCGTCGGCGTCACAATGACCTAATTTGAAAAGATAATTTTTCCCGCCTTAAATTAACGAACAAAAGAGGACCAAACAATGGCCGGCGAGAACGCGCCTATGAAGATTGCCGGAGCTTGAATACATTTACATGAATTGAAGGAGACTTAAGAAGCGTGAGCGCACGAGTGATCAATATCCAGGTGAATGTTGTGCCTTGTGGAGGACGAGGAACATCAGCAGCAAGCCTCGCTGCAATATTAGATCATCGTTTATTGTTCAAAAACAACTGTAGCGACCAGAATATTCTATGCATAGATATAAACGAGCTGGTCCAAAAAAGAACTGGATCAATGACCACTCGATGCTATAAGAATATTTTTTAAAGATGGTTCATGTTTGTAATTAGAAACACAGCGCTTTATTGTCTGTCAGTGAACTAATTATAGAAGTGTATCTAGTTTTTAAATAAAAAACTAATGGAATAAAAAAAAATATTAGACTTCAAATATTATGGAAAAAAAAAACGTGTTTCTTTACTTCGATGTCAGTATAAAAAGGTCAGGTTATGACAAGTTAAAATGCAATAACTCGCTTCGGTTATTTTACAAACGTAATGCAACGAACTATCGTGAAAGCGCTGTCAATGTCTGTCAAGCCGCCAACGATATATCATAAGCAATTTTTGTCTTCAAACTTTTGGGCGGGCGAGAAGCTGCGGGCGGATACGGGCGGCGCGCACGTGACATGTTTCGACAAGCAGACAATCAGCACCAGCTCGCAACTTGCCAAAAAGACAATATCGCGTCACGTGTCCATATCGTCATAGCCTTCTCAAACCCAGCGGCCCGCACCTCGGACATCAAATTCCTATTTTTTTTGTATTGGCCAGCTCAAAATACAGTGATATACAATAATATCCGTAAGTGTAGTAACATTGACAGATATAAGTAATGTTTGATCCTCGGCACGTTCAACACTTTATCATGATGATTATCTCAAGCATAACATATTACTTCAATTATTTATTTACTGCTGGCTATTTATGTTTCACATAGACACTTTGCTAGGTCGTTATCAAAGAACTTAAACGTGTGCAGAATTTACAAAAACAGTAAAGTTATGTAACAGACACATATTTCAGTAGTCACCAAAATTCAAATATCCCAATCCACTCCAGAATATTGTGACTGGAATATTTTTGCGGCATGATGTTTGAATAACCTAGATCTTGTTTTTTATGCGAAGGCAAAAACTCTCGACGTGTACTTCTGTGTTATAAAAACACGAGCATTTTTATGTACTTTACTGCTTTACCTTTGCCATACCTTTGTGCCACGAGGCTAGCAAACAGCTGCGCCACGACACCACAACCTCACCACATCACACTGCAAACACCTCATTCCATTTTAAATAATCATTTTGAGGTTCCTCCTAGAAATGTATAGCTTTATTGGTGTTACCTACACGGCGAGTTTGCTCCACAAAGGCGTTAAACGCTTACAAAGTGGATCTAGATTGCTTGTTAGATGCCAATACAAGGAAGCTATATTTTGGAAATTCTAACCGTAATTTAAATATTTACAGCGGGTATCATCCACAGTTTCATCACAAGTAAAAATTGTCGATTCTCGATTTTTTCAAACAATTTCATCTTAATAGCCAAAAAGAATTAATCGAATACATCTTATTGTCAAAAGTTGTTGTGTTTTGCTGTACGTGTGTGTGCGTGTGTGTTTGCAGACGCGCCGTCGTGCCGCAGCGGTGGCGTTGCGGTGGTTGGCGCGGCGCGCGGTGAGTCCGTGGTGATCGTGTGCGAGGTGGACGCCGACCCGCCCGCAGCCGTCTTCAAGTGGAAGTTCAACAACTCCGGAGAAACGCTGGACGTCGCCGCCGACAGATACACCTCCAACGGAAGCGCCTCCAGCCTCAAGTAAGTGATTGCTCCACTTATGTTTAATCTTAAAATTTTAATTTGCATTAAATCAGAGGAACAGAAGTACCAAGATCTCAATACTGTTTGATTCACAAATAATGACTAGTTCCTTCTACTTTTCATTCCAGTCTTATTTTCGAGGACGATTTGAAATGGAGACGTAATTTTATTCCGTCAATTACGTGTGCTCCGACCCTGGCAGAATAAAAGTCCGCAATCGTGGCATCCGCAATTTGAAACGTGTACAACGAGCTATAGGTTCAGTAGGGAGACGACCTTGTGCTCGCGGCGCGGCGCTCTGTGGCTCGCGGCTTCTTACACGCGCGCTCCTTTGAATTTAGGATTTGGAATGTGTATAGAGTTGTAACGAGTTTTGCGGAGATGGGAGCCTTATGTAATAATGCTTCCTCTTACAATACAATCCTTTGAAATTTGTTAATACTGAACCCACAATGTCATGTTTTCCGTTTCCGTTATGTGTTTGTGATAATAAGCAAATGGTTATCCTGATTTCCAAATAAGTAATATGAAAACTTAGGTGATCTAAACCTGAAGATAAGTATATATAACGACTCCCCTCAAATCAACTGCTTCTAATGATATATATTTAAGAGAACAATTATTTAATAAAATTACATAATTTGCTAATACGTACATGTATGTACTAGCATATAGCTACCGTTTTTTGAAAACTCAAATTTAATCCATGTTAAAAAAGCAATATTTCTCCGCTGAATAGGAAATGCAGAATTTAAAATTGGTCCGTATTTTCTAGTCGAGTGCCATCCGCTTCTGGGTATTTGATGTTTATATTTGTACGAGATTGTACGTGCGGGTTATTGCGAGACGGCGCGGCGCTCCTCAACTCAGAAATACTAAATATACGTACAACCACACGATCATACCGAGTCTTAAATAAAAATATAGAAATATCTCTAGTAAATAATGATTCCATAACCAGGTACACCCCAGTAGCGGACCTGGACTACGGCACGCTGTCATGTTCCGCATCCAATGAAGTCGGCAGCCAACTCGCCCCCTGCGTCTTTCAAATGGTGGCTGCAGGTGAGATCAACACAAAAAAAGTAAAAAAATGCTTTTGATACGCTTTGAAATATTTGTAGAAGTACATATTAATCGCCTTTTTACAGATAGCTAAATTTTATTATCGGGGTTTCCTTAATTGTTTGTTGTGCGCGATGTGCAGGCAAGCCGCACGCGCCGCGCAACTGCTCGCTGTGGAACCAGACGGCGGACTCAGTGGAGGTGTCTTGTGCCCCGGGCTTCGACGGTGGTCTGCCGCAGCGCTTTCTACTCGAGCTTTATTCCGGGGACGACACCGTGCCCAGGTAACCGCACGCCGGCGCACTAGCCAAGCCCCCAGTACGAAGCACATGTCAATTCTATCGAGCACTTATCCCAACACCCTTTTATTTCACATTGTTTGCACAAACATTAGGTTAACCATGTTCTTTATTCATGAAAAAATAATATACGAAAAATTTGCAGGAAAATGTTGTTTCCATTTTGCCTTAAATTATTTGCGTCGAAACAACATGCAAAGAAGATTAGTAATCTCAAAAGAGCAGCTTAATTTAAAAATAATTCCCCGCTCGAATCGCAGAGCTCACAAATTGGTCCGCGCGAAGGAAACTTGCAAAATAAACGTGAGTTACGAGTCTCGTCGGAGGTGTTGAGATGAAAAAAGGGTTCCATCTAATATTAAGCGTTATAACGGGGGTCCTCGGGAGGCGCCGGGCGGGGGACGGTGGGCGCCGGGCGGGGCACACGGGATAAATACGGCGATGACGGTGGTACATCAACGGACAATGGCTCCTAACGAGAATTTAGATGTGTTCAGGAATTTCGACCTTCATTCTTCTGAAGAATAAAAATGGCAAAAGTTTTATTTTGTCCTTCGACGCGAGCTCCGTACAAATTTGTCAACGAAAGAAATTCTGTCGTGTAATTTTTATTAACGACGATCCTTTGTGGAGAATTTGTTCGTCATAATGATCCGACTCCGGAATGGCCCTCCGCGCTAAACACACGCCCTTCATAATTTATTACTCTTGTTTAGCTTTTCTTGAAATCGGAACGTTCCACCTACCTGTACCTGTATTAACTTCCTTTAGTACACGGTCGTGAAGGCTCCTTATTCTTTTACCATTTTATAGCAAGCTTAAGTTTAAAAATGAGTATTGTAGTAATTACGCGCCACCACTGAGATAAAGTTGTAACGATGCTCGTGCACCAGCTGCCGGAGAATGCGCTACGAGAGGGGGCCTGGGCGGGGGCGGGGGCG